CCCAGAGTCCCCCATTGGGGGGAGATGGGTGGGGGGACAAATTTAACAAATAAAAAAATTAATAAAAAAAATAATCTCCAGCAGAGAGCAGCCTGAACAAAAGGTCTACTTAGGGTTTGCGCTGAATCCCAGCTGGGAAGGGAGTGAATGCTTTTCTTCCTGCCTCATTTTGGGGATTTCCAGAGGCCTCTTCCTGGTTGGAGAGCCAGTGTGGTGTTGTGGTGAAGGCAGCAGGCTAGAAACTGGGAGATCGTGAGTTCTAGTCCTGCCTTGGGCACGAAGCCAGCTGGGTGACCTTGGGCCAGTCCCTCTCCCTATGAAGGAGGAGGAAAGGGCAAATCACTTCCGAAAAACCTTGCCAAGAAAACTGCAGGGACTTGTCCAGGCAGTCGCCAGGAATCAACACTGACTTGAAGGTGCACACCTCCCCCCACACACAGACCCCTTCCTGGCCACTGGAAGAATCAGGAGCTGCTGGACTTGTGAAGCCCTTTGCACTGCTTTGCTCCACATGTCCTCAGCCTTTGGACAGATGGGAGTATGTGCCTAGGATTCAGCAAGGGAGAAAGCTGGGTGTGCATTTCACCACATGCATCCCATGGAGAGTCACTGCCTTCAGCTCTTGGGAGGCTCTTTAGCAATACAGTTTGAGGGTTCTGCACTGGGAGACAGAGAGATTGGGGAAACACCTGCAACATTTACACCTCCTTTCTCCAGAAGCATGGGAAAAGCTTGCACGCCAGGTGGATGGTTGCTCTTGACGACATGGAGCTCCAAGTCTTGCTAGCGTTCCAGGCCGAGGAGGGTTATCCAGGCCCCCTGGCCCCAGACCTGGGAGAGATCAGTCCTGCACTGGCAGCCTGGTCCTAGAGCTCTTGTGTTGCCTCAGAATGACTTATTTTGTTGCAGCAGGTGGAGAGAGGGAGTCAATGAAGTTTTCTTCAGGGAGAGATCCTTGAGCTTTACTGCTGCTTACTCTGTTATCTGGGGCTGGGGTCTCTCTTTCTTTGCTGTTCTCCAGTGCCTGGACATTCCCCTCATGACTCCCCCTTAGGGCTTTCCAGAACTGCTGCTGAGCGCTTGAAGCTGAACTGATATTTAGGTGGTCGTTAAAAGCCTTCTGGGTCTTCCATTATGTTTCTGCATCACTGTGCTCTGTAGGACATGATATCCGGGCAGTACGGATGTGTGGAATGGCATGAACTCTGCATGGGAAACTCACCCTATCACACCTCACTGATGCTTCACAGTCAAGAAGAAGAACTGAT